GTATCTATGTTAAGTTCAATCTTAACCTGCATAACGATTTTTGCTTGTGGAGCCAAGCAAAAATTGAACTGTGAACTGGTTTTAACACCACAAACATGGACACTGGGGAGGAGTAAATTGATTTTGTTTTGTATTGTATTTGTAATTTTTTTTGTAAATATATTTGAAGAAACTTGATTTAATTTAGTCTGTGCTCCATTTCTTTATTTAAAATTTTTTGTCACTTATTTAATTAAGGTTGAAAAGGGTGTGTAATTTTTCTCTTTAATAATTTACATGTCCTTGTGTGATTGGTTTAATTACAAAGTAATTCTAAACCATACATAAAAATAAACTCATAAGCTGGTTAAAATATCCTATATGTCAGGAGGGAGACCTGACTGACCCAACTTAAACTGCTTAAAATAAATAGAAATAAACTCATAAAAACAGAACCGTCACATGTTTTATGTATCATCGTAACCAACAAGACAAATTAGGTCATATCTCTAGATAAACTGATGACATCAGAAAGAGCCAGGTATCAAAATGTAGCTTTTAAAGCAGGAATGTGAAAATGTGATGAGGTCATTTTGAACAAATTTGATTTTTATCCTCATTTGGACATGATGGGTCACAAATCTACAATTATTTCATGATTTACCTGCTGAACCAAGAAGCTTGACTTATTTAAACAACTTCTTACCGAGACAGGATTCCTACAAAGTTCCTGGGACTGGTGGAGTGGAGGAGGGGCTTAATGTTCCTGAGCTCAGCCTTAAAGCTCTGAAGCTCCGCCCCCCTGTTGACCCTCATGATCTGGTGGATCTTCACGGAGCTGCAACACAGAGGAACATTGAGGGTTCTGTGAGGGATCACTGCAGAGCATTGTGGGTGTTTTGGTTCTGAGGAAGGACCTGTCGCGCAGCAGACCGCAGATGTTCTGGAAGGTGAAGCTGCTGGGAGGAAGGGTCTCGATGCTGCACCGGAGGGCCCGGTACTTCCCCACGCTGGACGGAGCGCTGCTCCTCAGGTTCATCTCGCTGACGTTCAGAACGTCTCGGATCAGCTGGAGGAGACAGAAACCTGCTGACCTGAGCGCAGCTGTGTTTGTGGGAATGTTCTGTTCTGGTTGTGTTCTGGTGCTACCTGACAAAGGTCCAGTTTCTGAGAGAGCACCCAGGTGACGGGTTCTAAGAGTCTGGGTTCTCTGTGGGGCAGCAGCTGGGAGAACTCCATCAGGAGAGACCCCGCCTCTGTGGAGTTTCCCTCCTTCAGGTTCTTCTGGGCCTGAAGCAACAAACCCTCGGCCCGGCTCACCTGAGCACATGTTCAGAACCATCAGAACCAGTGGTGGGCAGCTCAGTTTCTAAAGCACTATTTGATTTAACTAGGTTTAGAAGTTTCAAAAAACATTTTCTCCATAAAGGAGATAAACATAAAACATAAATCTGTCTCCGTTCACCAGAAAATATTCAAGACATGTCAGCAGCTCAATACTGCCAACTAGTGGAACAATAAATTCRTTTCACAGATTAGCACATGTCGTCGCAGTTTGGGGGGGGTGATTTGTTGAAACAGACTTTAGATTCGGTGTTAAAATAAAAAATGTTGTGGATTGTTCGTTCTGCTGCTTCTTGGTCATTTTCTTATGTTTATGTTAGGGCTTCAGTAAAAAAAACATGCAGATATATTCATTTTAAAGTGTTTGACATGCTTATCCTTCAGATACAAAACGTCAAAGAAAACTTTGMTCTATTTAAGAAACTTTGCATACAACACATTATTTACCCCTTTGGACACAAATGGCCTATTTTCTTTTGAACTTGGCTCGGCAAAAGGGAAACAGGAAGTGACATCAAAGAGGAACTCCTTTAGAGGGATCCATGATTAGTTGTAACAGACTTTATCTGATAAACATTTTAACTGTAAAAATACTGTAGGCTGTTTAGTTTTTATCATTTTTAAAAAT